GAGAGTGCGCGAGTGAGAGTGCGAGTGCGCGAGTGAGAGAGTGCGAGTGCGCGAGTGAGAGTGTGCGAGTGTGCGAGTGAGAGTGTGCGAGTGCGCGAGTGAGTGCGCGAGTGAGAGAGTGCGCGAGTGAGAGAGAGTGCGCGAGTGAGAGAGAGTGCGCGAGTGAGAGAGAGTGCGCGAGTGAGAGAGAGTGTGCGAGTGAGAGAGAGTGTGCGAGTGAGAGAGAGTGTGCGAGTGAGAGAGTGTGCGAGTGAGAGTGTGAGTGTGTAAGTGTGAGAGAGTGTGTGAGTGAGTGTGTGAGTGTGAATGAGTATGAGTGTCAGTGAGAGTGAGTATGTGTGTCAGTGAGAGTGAGTATGAGTGTCAGTGAGAGTGAGTATGTGTGTCAGTGAGTGAGTATGAGTGTCAGTGAGTATGAGTGTCAGTGAGTATGAGTGTCAGTATGAGTGTCAGTGAGTATGAGTGTCAGTGAGTGAGTATGAGTGTCAGTGAGTATGAGTGTCAGTGAGTATGAGTGTCAGTGAGTATGAGTGTCAGTGAGTGAGTTTGAGTGTCAGTGAATATGAGTAAGTGTGAGTGAGAGTGAATATGTGTGAGAGTATGAGTGTCAGTGAGAGTGAGTATGAGTGAGAGTATGAGTATGAGTGAGTATGAGTGAGAGTATGAGTATGAGTGAGTATGAGTGAGAGTATGAGTATGAGTGACTATGAGTGAGAGTATGAGTATGAGTGACTATGAGTGAGAGTATGAGTATGAGTGAGAGTATGAGTATGAGTGAGAGTATGAGTGAGAGTATGAGTGAGAGTATGAGTGAGAGTATGAGTGAGAGAGTATGAGTGAGTGAGTATGAGTGAGTGAGTATGAGTGAGTGAGTATGAGTGAGTGAGAGTATGAGTGAGTGAGAGTATGAGTGAGTGAGAGTATGAGTGAGTGAGAGTATGAGTGAGTGAGTATGAGTGAGTGAGAGTATGAGTGAGTATGAGTATGAGTGAGTATGAGTGAGAGTATGAGTGAGAGTATGAGTATGAGTGAGTGAGAGTATGAGTGAGTATGAGTGAGAGTGAGTATGAGTGAGTGAGAGTGAGTATGAGTGAGTGAGAGTGAGTATGAGTGAGTGAGAGTGAGTATGAGTGTGAGTGTGAGTGAGTGTGTGTGAGTATGAGTGAGTGAGCATGAATGAGTGTGAGTGAGTGTGAGTGAGTGTGAGTGAGTGTGAGTGTGAGTGTGAGTGAGTGTGAGTGTGAGTGAGTGTGAGTGTGAGTGAGTGTGAGTGAGTATGAGTGAGTGTGAGTATGAGTGAGTGTGAGTATGAGTGAGTGTGAGTATGAGTGAGTGTGAGTGAGTATGAGTGAGTGTGAGTGAGTGTGAGTGAGTATGAATGAGTGTGAGTGAGTATGAGTGAGTATGAATGAGTGTGAGTGAGTATGAGTGAGTGAGTATGAGTGAGTGTGAGTATGAATGAGTGAGTGAGAGTATGAATGAGGTGAGTGAGTGTGAGTGAGTATGAGTGAGTGTGAGTGAGTATGAGTGAGTGTGAGTGAGGGTGAGTGAGTGTGAGTGAGGGTGAGTATGAGTAAGTGTGAGTGACTGTGAGAGCGAGTATGAGTGTGAGTATGAGTAAGTGTGAGTGTGAGTATGAGTAAGTGTGAGTGAGTGAGAGTGAGAGTATGAGTGAGTGAGAGTGAGAGTATGAGTGAGTGAGAGTGAGAGTATGAGTGAGTGAGAGAATGTGAGAAAGTGTGTGTGTTTTGTGATACGGACTCGTCCTGCCGAATTGTTGGCATTATCGTTATGTTTCTTAAAGGGTCTGAGGGTGTGTTCCTTTCACACATTCTTTTATCTTATTTTACTGGTTTCGGTAATGGTAATTGAATAAAAGATATAAATATCTTGACAAACAGGTAATGTACTTCAATGCATTAATTTTGAATATATTTAGGCCGAAAATCGCAATGCGCTAACTTTAAACATGCAAATTAATTAAACTTCACAATGCAATTCTTCTTAGTCTTCTTCTTTACACAGTAATTTAAGTGTATTTGTCACATACCCATTGCCTTCCCCCATCACAGCAGCGCCAGGTACCTGTAGAGTTTGCCACACAACGCCACAGAGACAGGGAAAGACAGACGGAGAGACAGTGAGAGACACAGAGAGTAGGAGCGGGTCGTCTGGAACCTTCTCCCGGTCGGAGCGACCTGTTGTAACCTCACTGTTGCCGGAAGTCGCCTTCTTCTGTCCCGTCACCTGGTACCTTGGGGTCGCTGCCCTCGCAGAATCTTTTACATCACCAGTGGCACACGTTTGTCGATTCACAGCGCCAGCGTTTGCTCATGATCTCCCTTACGAGAAAAGTTCATTCTCCACGGACGAGAAAAGCGAGACTACTCCTATTTACAAAATGTACTAATACTTGAGCTCGGAAGACATAGCGGCTCCTATGTGGTACCGTAGGTGGCTTCTGTGGCGCACGTTAACCCGGAGTTCCCTAATGTTCTCTTCAGTGACGTCGGACTCTGGAATTTCGAACTCCAGAAAGTCACGTCCTGACAGCACGTTCACCAACCGACACCGGGTTCTTTTCTGTGTTAATATGTGTACAGCGATAATCGGAAATCATTTGACAATGGCGTACATTTTGTCTTCACGCCACACGTTTCTACAGGATGCGCAGCCGAATTTACTAGGGGATGTGCCTCTGTGAGGTGTCGCATGTTGTTACAAAACAACCTGGCACACTTCTCCACCACAGTTTAGGAATATCTGATTCATATACGACATATGGCTGACGAGTCTAGAGGCATCCCTCCGATATTGCCTGATTTGGAACGCAATGATTTTCTTTGCGGTCAAATGAAACCGCTGCTATTTGAGACGCCAGAGGGCGTCAGAATACGATCTAGGGGCCAGAATTTTAGCTGCGACCTAACAGCATCCAGATTACACCAGCCATTTTCGAGAAGGTGCATCGAATCTAATGGACGCCACTTGGAGGAATTATTGTAGTAAACGTTGAATAAAAATATTGATTGTTAGGATTCCCGGCGCATCAACTACTGGGGTCGTTAATCCCGTAAATGCAGTGCATGTTTTTCTCTCTGTGGAGGTGGCGGTGGTCTTCCTCCGCTGTATGGCGAGATCCGGCGCCGACCCACCGTTGGCTAGCGGGATTTTCCCCAACCAGGTATTTGCCACCTGCAGGGAACCTTCCCAGCCGGGACAAGCTCTAAGCTCCCGACGGGTCTCCCAGCATGTGTGGTAGTGTAGTGCATGGTAGTGTGAGTTACGAGTGAGGGTAGGATAAGGCCTGCTCCGGCATTCGCGTGGTGTTGATCGGAGAAACTATGGAAAACTACCAATCAGAGCAGCCGGTTGCTAGAATGCTTCTCCAGAAAGTGACAGAATTCGACCTAGCTGACAAGCTAGTGTCGAAAATCCTGCCACAGCCGAGACTCAAACCTACGACCTCTCGGTCAGAGGGACTGCAGCGACATAGTTCATCCCCTGAGCCATCTCTCACGGTAAAATAATAGATAAAAGTATATTAGTATCATTTTCCTTGGCAGTCTCCTGTACTCGTCGACCCCTGAAGGTGCGCCACCTACGTTAGGGGCGCTGTCAGAATGTACGTGGGTGAATCTCCGTTAACTGAAATTTCCCACGAATGTTCAACGCCAAATCGTTGATCGTTGACCATCCAAAATGCTCTAGAAGTTTCTAATATTTATTGAGATTTCTAATATTTATTGATTATATATACTGATTAGAAATGATAATTATTCTACTCTTGGGAATCAGTATTACCGTGTATTGATAGAAATAAACACTAATTCACTTCTGAAAAATTGCGTTTTATGACTTATTCGTCTCTTGCCTATCGCCCTAGAATTACTCTAGTGAGTCATAATCGCATCACAATATACTTACATTAATTGGAAATCAGATAGAGAATAATATGCGCGTTTCTATCTGAAGCCAAAATGCTACGCATACGCGACAACATACTGTTGATTACGACGGAGGAAGTGGGCGTTGCGACGTCTATATTACAATGATACCACTTAATTGATTTTGCGCCAAGCTACCAGGGAGCAATTGCCTTTTCTCACGACGCCAGATGCAACGAAGAGCGGTAGCACCGGTAAATGGAGAAGGATTATAAGCCCGAACAGCGTGGCAGACCGAAGAACTTATAGATTGCGAGACGGAAGTCTGAAGGGATGTGGAAAAAAACCTAGGGGTAAAACTACTAACTTTATAGCCGACACAAGTGCCGGGCTGCAGCCTGTAGTAAACATTGTCCGAGCACATGCTCAAAATGTCTCGCGTATTTAAAGCATAACAAAAGAGCGCGCGACGCAATGCTCCGGCGCACACGACCTGATGTTTCGGCGGCGAGGACGGCCACAACGGCGCTGTCCCATCTTGGACGTAGACCGAAAAGAAGAAGTCTAGTGGCGATGGGTGGAGCGATCTTGGCGGCCAGGCCACAGGACAGACTGCGGTGGCCGGTGACGAAAACCTTGGTAGAGGGCCATTGCCGGTGTTTCAGGCAACATGAGTGGCAGACTATCTACCCCCGTTAACTTTTTATCGGTTTGGGAAGAAAAGTTTCCTTTTGTAGATACTGGAACAATGGCAAAGTGTTTAGGGTGTTCGAAAGAACTGCAATTTGTTAAAAAGTTCAACCAACAGATATATTAGGACGCTTTGGGACTCGAGAACCTGCGTGATAAAAATAATTCTGAGAATTGACAAATAGCCCGCCATCATGGGATGAGTAAAGGAATTTGCAAACTAAAGATTATGGAAAAGATACTGAAAATGACGAAGACTTACAACATTCTCAAACTAAACTACGTATTTGTTAACATTAATTGTTTCAGAACGAACTAAATCCGTTATATTATATACCATTGTATACAATATTGTCCTAAAATGTTTAAACTGTCCTTTCCAAAAATGTTATCTAACAGAAGAATCGAAGTGGAATTACAGTACTGGTATTGATAGAGAGCCGGATGTTGTTTTGAGTAATGTAATGAATGTTACATTATATAATTCTTCATATTGTTATTGAATCATAAACATTCTAGATAATTATTACCATTTAAAAACATAATTATCGATTTTCCAAGCGAACCTTTCCCCCCACTTAAGTACCATCATTGGACCACTGTACGCCCGGCGCCGCGTCGGACACTGCCTTTGCCCGGCCACTCGAGACGGAGCAGGAGAGCAGTTTTGTGACGTCAGAGCAATGAGTTGGCGAGCACTGAACCACAGCAACACGAGTTCCAGGAGCATTGTGTATCTGAGCAGGAATATGGCTTCCGAAAAGGCAGGCGTTATTACGGAGGTAGTTAGGGTGACAAGAAAGGCAAAGGACAGGGTAACTGGGGAAAACGTAGTTGGTAGTAATTGTCGCCAGAAATGTATTTAACTCAATCCGATAGGCCTTAAATGCGGGGGGGAAATTAAAGAGGTGTCGTTATTTATGTTGGCGACGATCCCATTTTCGTCGGCAGATAACGTCAATCTGTGAAACTAAAATCTCTTCATTGAAATTTCAATATTTATAAGTTTTTATTTATTATAAATGTGCCGTAGGTATAATGTACTATAATGTACTGCCCCACGAAAACCAGGGATATTGAAGTTATTGATAGCGAAATTGCATCTTGCTCAAGTAAATAAGATGCCATAATACTGACGGGATATTTCAATTTCAACCTTCTGAAGCCTACGACACATGCCGACAAATTGAAACATTTCTTTACCGAAATGTATCTTACGATTCTACAAGTAAATATACACATCATACTATCAGACTCTTTGATTGTTCATATCATTGCATCGAAACATGACAAAGTGCAGTTCCATGGACAGTCAAGTGTCCGGAGTATCCAAGAATGACTTCATGTATCTCCGACATTAAAAGCTTCAATCTCGAAGTGTTCCTCTATTGCGATATGAGTATGGCCTGGCTTCTTCCTTATCAAAATTCTGTAAATAGTAAAGTAAAACTTTCGCACATCTACAGTCGAAACTAATTGGTCGGCAAGTACCTATAAGGCAATCTCACGCAACACGGCTGACTCCATTGATAGCAGATGAAATACGAGCGTGTCATTACATAGAGACGCCACTTTTAAAATACTTCGAAATACAAAATTCGACGATAGACTTAAGTACAAGAAGTTAAGAAATCTTACCACACAGAAATTGTGAGACGAGAAATTGAAAACCACAATTTTCTAGGCCACACTAGAAAGAAATATTCACTACACACACTCGGCATAGGCAAACTTCGAGATCCGCGGCAAATTGATGTACAGCTACACACTATTAATCAACATTTCGCTAATATGGTATACAACTTGGAACATTTATTAATAATATTACTCTTTAAAATTTGTGATTTGACAGTAGATATACTCCGGAAGAATTCTTCTTCACGTGTACAAATCATACTGATGCTCTCTAAACTATTCGGAGCCTAAAACCAATACGAGTCCCACAATACCCCAAAATATGAGTTTTTCTGTGAAAAAAAATCGCCGAATTCTGCCACATTACAGTACTTTACATTACAGTACAAAATGTGGATTGACTACACTCCGAATTCGAGAAAACAGTTAACTATGTACATATCGCGGAGACAATGCCAGTTTTTCAGTATCAAGGATATACGTAGTGTTTTCTGTCGAAAAATCGTCACTTTTCTTACAGCATTGAAAATTTCTCTATGACGTAGTAGATGAAAAAGTACAACAAAGTAGTACACTTAATATCTGAGTGAGCCAAAACTCACTCCTCTCTTATTAGACTGCAATCACATATCAATTACTCTTTTTATTATAAATAACACTGTGTTAATTTGCGTAATAGATAATGCAAATAAGTACTTCTACACAAACTACTAAAAGCTTCTTTAAACCATAACTATCTACTACACTGTTTTGCACAATTACAATATTCCTTGATTTGGAGAAAAAAATGCAGAAATGATAAACACTGCAAAACCACATTTTCCAAAGCTGGTGTAACTGCATAGTAGAGAAAAATATCAGTTACAACACACTTCAAACTATAACAGTTGCCTTAAAAGCATGGACACTGAGACATAAATTCACATATTCAGTGGTACCATTCACAGTTTGAAAACATGCCAGGTTTCTATTTACACCAAACCAATCTTGTTTTTTCTGAAGAGAGACTTTTCTCCAACTTTTATTACCAAATTTTCTCCTCAAAGAATACCGTCAACCTCATGTAAAGAACTAAAGCTCAAAGTCCTTAAGAAGAATTAGGAAGCCAAATGCGTGTTATAATGATATAATTAAGCTTAAAGAGACTTAGACTACAAAGAGAAAGACAACTTTGAAACAATGACTTAACGCAACTCCCCTTGTTTCAGTATATCCCAACTAATATAAACTGTTCATAGAAACTGTAGGTTTTTCAGTTAATTTGCATTTCTATGACATTTGTCATACTAGTAGCCTTCCCCAAACGTCAATTAATGAAAGGAAAATTCTCCATACCTGATGATGTGCTGACAATTGTATTAGTCGTATAACCAGCAATGCTGGAAATACTAGGAAGCTGATCACACATTGTTTGTTCATGTTGAACACATGATGTTCCTGATACCGGGTCCGCATTTGAGAACGCAACTTCTGTCTCTTTGGTTACTGTTGTAGAGGGTGCTGCAGCATCAGGGGTGTCTACAATAAAATGTAGCTCATCACCTACAAGTACAATTTTCCTGAAATTACACTGAATTCCCAACTGTACTCCCAATCTTCGGTATCCACAAAAATCACAATCCATATTTCATTTCCCTTGCATTATACTTCATCAGGTGCTTTGGAACACATCATTTCTTCAAAATATTTTCCATCATGCGTAAATCCTCATGTCAAGAGAGTGAAAACAAAAAAGTATACAAAGCAGACGTAAAAAGATACAATCTATGATACTGCACATGCATTTCCCAAAAAGCTTTTCAACAAATAGAATTGAAGGGATCGGGCAACATTATGACGATCAACCTTGCTGTAATTCTTGTAACAAAGTGAAAATTAAAGTATTTGTACGAGTTATTGTAAATCCAATCATATCTCGGTTTGTGTACAGCTACACACTTCTTTCTATACATACGTAACAGAGTGCACACACATACATTTATAAACTCATGTGTAAAGAATATGAATCATAATGTTAGGTTTTGGAGGAAATTATAATATCTTTGCATTGGATATATGCAATGATTGTAATCATCATGTTGCCCTCATTCCAGTTGCCTTCAATTAATGTCAAGAATTGAAGTATAATTGCACTACATAAAAGGCACAAAACATTACTTACAATACAGCATACTCTGACATGTACAAAGGCATTTTGCAAAAATACAAGCTTATTAAATTTTGTCTAGTTCTCAACTGAATTTCAGTAATATATATATTTCACTTTACTACACGTTTTTGTAACTGGCAAAGAATATGAGATTCTTTTTCCTGGGAAAATCGAGATCGCTAATTGTCATACCTGTAGGATTTCCATTACCCACAGCACCTCCACCGTCAGTGTCTTCTGGATCAGCTGAAAATTGAAATTAGTCGATTGAATCCTTGAATACAGATTTTCTACTACGATCTTATGAATTGATAGTTAACTCGCACGCAAAAAGTGCATAATTTCCGATCACACAATGAATTATGAAAAGTTAACCAATAAAATCAGATATATTCGTCTTAAGAATAATAAAGCTCTATGTTTATAAATTGGCAGCAAAAAGAATCAAAAAGTGAACAGTAACTCAAAATACCGCAAATTCATTCATTTTCCGAAATTACCAAATTTTATTTAATACTAATGCATCTTTTCCATGAAGTCTAAATTAAAACATTAAGCAATGTTATTAATTTAGACGATTACCTAAAGTATAGTAGGGCACCCACAACACACACACTCGCATGGTTACGAACCCTTGCAATTTTTGAAAATTAAGAGAGTTCGACGAAAATTACACGTGTGCCATTTTCAAGCCTCCACTGCTCTAACCATGGAAAAAGTTAAAGAAAGCATTTGTAGCCTTTTTGAGATTTTTTAACAAACTGCACTATATTCAGACAGAAATTACGCGAAAACTACTCGTTTTTTCAAGCACAAAATGAAGTACCTTTTTTAGGTTCTCATTTATTTGAATAAATAAATGAATATGTTTGTTCACATAGAAATTAACATAGAAATAAAAAAGCACCCAATTTACACAATTCGACTACCTTTTTTATTAAAAATAAACAATTTACATGTTTCTGAAGTGTTTATATGTTTCTGCAATGAAACCTTTTGCAACCTTTTTCAAACCAACTTTTAAGTGCTTATTGCGGCTCAGCCATTCGGAATATCTAAGAAGTTTATTAGAAAGCAAAACATGCTTCAAATTGTCTTACAAGCTTATTTTCGAAGTTTCGGCGTTTCCTCCCTGGACATCATGTATATTTCACACGCATAGTCGACTCCCGTTATAGTGAACTCTCGGATATAGTAAACCTAAGTCTCTGGTTGCAGTTCATTTACATTACAAATAAGCACAAGATTCTGTTAAAATGAATTCTAAACCTTGGCTATAGTGAACGTAGGAAATATACCGTCGTAGAAATTAATTTCCTCCTGGAAAAAATATATCGCCTTAGTGCCACAAATTCTAACACTATGCAGCCTGTAAAAAATAGCGTGGGTCAAAGGCTAAAATCGAAGAAGTCTTCCCTGAGGTGAAGGTAGCGGACCCAAAAAGACCTTACTGATGACCCTGTGCCACTCAGTTTCACTTCGGAAATGAGGTTGTGTTCTGCGTGGGCAACAACTCGCGGCCAGCGAGACTGCGTGCTTCAGTTTCAAGCTTGACGTTACTAGAGATACCGCGGAACAAAGCACGACGTGGGCGACAGCCACAGCTTGGCGCAGCGCGGAAAAGCGATCAGTTTCATTAGCCGATTGCTCCATGCCGCTACAGGAAGGATCTTGTATTATTTTAGGTAAATACAAAGGCCTTCAGAGAGGGAACGGTGTTCCAAGTGCAAGAGGCATTGAAAGGTGTCAAGACTGCGTTACGATACTTATAGACAATGGACAACGCAGAATCAAGTATGGAGAGAGCACGAACTTTGGAGAAGGATCTACAGAAATTAGTACTGAAAACGTAACAACTGAAGGCAAACAACTGAAAACACTGAGTTTTATAGGTCTCTTTTTTCTTTCTCTAGGTTTCTTTTTGTAGATGCCGTAACAATGATGAAGTGTTTAGTGTGATCGAAAGAACTGCAGTATGTTAAAAAGTTCAATAGAGACATTACGCAAGATTTGTAACCCAGAGTAACACGCCAGATGAAAATCAATTCTGAGAATTTCGAGATAGCCTGCAATCATAAGATGAGAAGATGATTCTGCAGATAAGTTATGGAAAATGTTCTGAAAATCACAAGGATTTACAACATTCTCAAACAAAACTGTACATGAAATAATCAAGCCTTAAGTCCAAATTCTCCGACGTGACCTCTCATGGGTATCTATTTGTTAATATGAATTACATACTCCCACAAAATAAAAAAAAGTTGTCAGACCTAAAGACTTGTCACATGCTTCTCTATTATATTGAATCCGAAGCTAGAATTACGCCACCATCCTCCAGTTTTGTTTTGTTTTTTAATTTCGAAAAACCACCATAAAATTGTAAATTTAGTTGTTGTTGTTTTTTTCCTTTTCCCCCCATTTAAAAAACTGGAGGGTGGTGGCGCAATTCTGGCTTCAGATTCGGATTCAGGGCGTTGACATAAAGAAACCTGAGTCAAGTCTTTGGATATGACTTTTTTTCAGTGCCAGTTATTGGTTCAGGACGAACTAAAATGGTTATATTACATAACACTGTATAAAATATTTTATTAGAAAGTTAAAATAGTCTTCTCCAATAATGTTTAGTGTTAGAAGAATGGAAGTGGAATTACAATACTGGCCACAATAGAGTCGGATATTGACTTCTGTTATAAAATAATTTACGTTCTGTTTTTCATATTTTTATTGAATCATAAACATTTTAATAATAAATACATTTTAAAAACATAATTATCGAACCTATTTTCTACTTCCGTACAACCATTGGAACCAGTACAACCTACGCCCGGCGCTACGTCGAACGCTAGCTTTGCTCGGCCGCTCCGTTCGGAGCAAAGAGAGCCGTTTTTGTGAAGTCACAGAGCATTGAGTACGCAAGCACTGATTTAAATGAATATAATATTCATTAATGAAAGTATATTGCTATGATGATGCCCCGTTTCGATAATCAGGGGCAGTTTCTAATTAGGTTCACAGGTTCACGCAGCACCCCAAAAATTGAACAAAATAGGATATACACTTCGTTATTACGATCTCATTAATAGTGTGATTTTGTATACTCCTCTTTGTATGATTTTCATACCAGGGTTATATTGACGAACCGATGTGGCTACATTGCTGTTCACGTTTTCAAAACATCTTGCTCAGACCTCGTTCTATACGGCCATTGGTTACCACGTGACTTCGTTTCTTATCATACGGCGCTTTCATCGTATAATGTTCACACTTACGCCTTGAACGCCGCTTGGCGCAGCACTCTCGGGCTATCACACCACCCAACTCGGGGACGAAATCTCAGTCGTGTTGTCAGAAAAACAGCGTCCCCGATACGTTACTCCGAAACGCAAGGTTTGCTCTGATTTTTTTTTTTTTTNNNNTTTTTTTTTTTTTTTTTTTTTTTTTTTTTTTCAATTTTAGGCCCCATTCTTTTCCTTCTATACGTAAACGATATGCCCTTGACGATTAGAAACGTAAGAACAGTTCTCTTCGCGGATGATACGGATATTCTTTGCAATAAAGAAACCGTAATTGGTACAAATCAGATATTTCAAATTGGTTCCGTAATAACAAATTAATAGTAAATAAAAAGAAAACAGTTTCAATGGAGTTTTCCATTTCAAAAAAACAGCTCTGAACTCCGCTGAAAATAAACAGTGTGCCATTGACTGATATTAAGGTAACAAAATTTTTAGGTCTTTCAATTCCGTCAAACCTTAAATAGAATGTCCATTTAAATGAATTGAACCGTAAATTAAGTTCTTTATGCTACGTTTTCAGACCTCTTTCAAATTCAGTCAGCCTTCATACTGCTCGTTAACACACAGACAAGAAACAAATAACACGGCCACGGAGTATTACCGAGATCTTTACAGCAGTAACAAGAACCACAATTAAGATCAGCTACATCAGGAGGACAAGTCCAGGCCGGACAAAGAGGAGGTGCCACTGATAATTTACAGTGAGGTAAGAGCAGCAATCTCAAGAACAAAAACATGCTGATTCCCGTAGATCACAGTATCCTAAATGAAGCTTGGTCCCCCGGAACTAGTGAGAGAAATAACCGAGGTGTTCAACGACATCCTCAAAACAAAAGAAATACCTAGGCAGGGATGATGATGATGATGATGATGATGGTTTAAGGGCGCTTCAATAGCTTCGGTCATTAGTGCCCGTGTCAAATTATTTTAAGAGCAATACGCACTGTAGCAGTGCCAGACTAAAACATTTTTAACGCAAGATAAAATGCCAAGGCAGTGGTACACGAGTACTATCTCACTGATTCAAAATAAAAAAGGCTCCAGGAACTACCTTAACAACTACAGGCCTATAAGCTTAATGTCCAATATGTACAAGCTCTTTCCCAAAGGCATTACTACAAGAATCACCAAAATCCTGGTCGACCAAGAACGAACGGAACAAGCAGGTTTTAGACGGGGGGATATAGCACAACGGATCATCTCCAAACTCTGAACCAAATAATAGAAAAAGTACACGAACACAATTTAAAGTTGTATATAGCGTTCGTAGACTTTCAAAACGCATTTCACAGTGTAGAACATGTGCCCACATTCAAAGCATTAGAAACCCAGAGAGTCCCTTTAAAATACACACTTTTGACGAAATTATATGGAAATAGTACAGCAAAAATAAAGACGGATACAGAAGGAGACATGTTCGAATTGCAACGGGGAGTCAGACAAGGTGACCCAATGCCACCGAAGGTCTTTACAAGCCTCCTAGAAGATATATTCAGGAAATTGAAATGGATCAACCAGGAGATAAACATCACAGGAAAAAATCTGACAAACCTACGTTTTGCAGACGACATTGCTCCATTTACCAGCTCAAGCCATAAACTACAGATGTTGCTCTATGATCTGAACAGGGAAGGTAGGAAAGCGGGACTAAAAATGAACCTTGCAAAAACAAAAAATCAACAAATCACAAATCATCGCGAAGACATAGTTACAGTTGACAATGAAAAAATTGAATATGTAAGAGAATATATCTACCTAGGTCAGTTAAGTCTTTTGAAAACAGATCCAATACAGAAATAAGTAGAAGAATTACTTCAAGCTGGAAAACGTTCTGGAGCCTCTCATTCATCTTAATGGATAGAAAAGTTAACATCAACTCAAAAAAATTAGTTATGGACTCGTGCATATTACTAACACTCTTATACGGCTCCCAGACATGGTTTCTAACAT